GGGGAGCGTCACCGGGCATCCTCGCGGAGCCATCGTCGGAGGCCTGCGTGTGCGGCAGACGGCGGGTCTGCCACTGCGCAGCAGCGGGAAGGGTTTGCCTTGGGTCTGCGCTTTGCTCTCCTGCACTGCACACACAGTCTTCTCCCCCCGTGCTTTCCTCGCCTCCACAGAGCGAAAATGCACGTGCTTATCTTGCAGATAAAACTCTGCTTTCTCAAGAAACTTCCAACGCACGTGGTCCGCATTTCCACACCGGGGAGGAATATGATCTTATTTTTTCCCTTGGACCTATCATCTGACCCTTGCCATCCACCCCTCCGGGACACAGGGAGGACCTTTCTTTGTCAGCGAAGGGGTGGGCAGCTGTCCGAGGGTCTCCCCAGCAGGACCCCCCTCTGCCGAGGTGCCCTCGGTGCTCGGCGGGGCCGCTCCCTCCTGGGCGCTGAGGCTGCGGGCACCCCGCTCTGGCCTCTCCCCACCGCGATGGGAGTCCCGCACTTGTGCTGAGCCCCACGGGAGCCTCTGCAGCGCTGGCCTGGTACCAGTCCTCAGCCTGGAGGAGTCAGATTAACCAATGCTTTGGACTTGTTTTCGGCTATTATGGTCAATATATTAAAGGTATTTATTTAAGAAAGTGCCTATCCTGCCAATCTTTCCCCATGAGCTCTATTTTGAACACACCCTATAATTACTGATATTACCCTGGCAAATTTTCCCCATGAAGTTTTCTCCACTAAGAGCCATGACCGTACTTGTCTGCCTCTCCACATTATAATTATCACCAGGCAATATTTATAACTATTCTATTATTATTTATGATATTTTATGCCCTACGAAAACCTATATGACATATGCTCAAACTTCAGCATCTCAGACATTCAGACTTCAGCTGGGACATTCCCTTCAATTTGTGTACTCGTTCTTCTTACATTTGCACTAATAGGTTAGTTGGAGTATTTATTGTAAATACAGGAGTCCACGTGAAACCTGCAGGACTTGGGTTAGACTCTTGCTAAACATATCTAAACCTCCCATTGTGATCTCTTTCATACTTTTTTCCCCCCAGTTGGTGCACATTTCAGGACTTCTGATAGTTCAGGCTAGAACTGTCTATCATAGATTCTTGCTGAGGCAACATAATTAACTAAAGGAGTGCTTAATTATTCCAGATGGACAATGGAGCATAGCACATTTATGCCTCATGCAAAACATAAACAAACAGAACAGAATGAACAACACATGTTTGCCAATCATGGTCTAGACTTGAAATTTGGCACTGCAATACTTACAAACGTAAATGTTTTATTCTCACACTTCAAAAAAATTAAATAAAACTCTGTCTTGTAAGCACCTTTAGTTTTAATTATTTAAGATCAATACTAACCTAAATGCCTCTGTCCCTAACATGCATCTCCTCTCCAGGGTCACAGACCTTTCTTCTTATGAAATCACTGTCTTTCTCCACAAATATTACTGTTAACCAGTTTCCTCAGTATCATATGCATAAGGGCTATAAACTAATGAGCAGATCTAGGTTATGTAGAAAAAGTGTAGAAAGGAAACAAATGTTGAACGTCACATTTACATTAACTTCTCACAGTTCAAATGGCAATTTATCCACAACATAGTATGACTCATGCAGTAAGAAAAGGGAGGAATCTCCAGTTTCTTTGATTTATTTGTCATATGGTCGACTGATGTCAGTATCAGTGGCTTTAAAAAAAAAAAAAAAAGTTTAAACATCCAAAAGAAAGGAAGAGAGAAAGGAGGAAAAGGTCTAGCTTTCCGCAAAATCCATTTCCTTTATGACAATGAGCTCAAACCAAACCAAACCAAAGGCTGCTGAAGAGCAGGGTCTTCTGTTCCTTCCGCGCTTGTCTCGTGGTCTGGTGCAAGCTGGGGATCAAGGGTATGGGACTGGTGGATGCGTTTTGTTTATATATGTATGTATGTAGGTAGGTAGGTATTAATATGCGTATACATACATACACATATATACACACAGATACAGTCTTCCTAAAAATGCTCTTTGCAGTCCAGAGGCAGCAGGAGTCACTGTGAAGGAAGAGCTGGGCAACATATGGCTGTAGAGTCTGCACTGGAAAAAGTCACTGGCTAAATATACGCCGGCTGTTTGTTTTCTTTTATTTTCATGAGGCGAAATACGAGCTCTGCATAGAGTACAGCCTGTCAATGGGGTTTCCTACTCTAGCCTGCATGGAGTTAACTTCGGAAGAGGCAAGAAAACAGTCGCTCAAGCTAGTTAAAGAGGTATCACTGTCGATATCATGAAAAATGGAGTCGTTTCCTGCAAATGAAACGCATATGTTAAGCTGGATTCTGTGCAGCCAGAGGACACAGTACACATGGATGCTCATATGTTGCACACTGCAGCAAAAGGGAATGCTCCTGGTTTTGTTTTTACATGTTAACATAATTTCGCTCTAAGGGTCTGACCTACAAAGAGGAAGGCTAGCAAGCAATTTGCAGAGTTCAGCTGGCAGCAGTGCCACTCAGATCTGCCAGGATTTAATTTATACTTCAGTCAGCAGCACAAAAGAGAGTCTTGGCTGACGATGAGAGCAAATGGTGCCAGGAAGGAGCAGATCCCCGGCTCTCCGTGAGCTGGGATCTGGCATTCACGGGGCCACCGGGGCCACCGAGGAAGGTGGGACCAGACGCCCAGGGAAAAGTGGTCTGAGAGGCATAACCAGTAATGGTCTTCATTTACATGCAAGGTAAAAGAGAGAGCTACAAATGCAACGGGACCCAAGAGACCCAGCTTCCCTGGCCTCAAGTGAGCTACAGTTGTAAACATGCTTTCATTTCAGAAAATTCCACTCTTTTGGGGTTGGTTTGGAACTGCACCTTTTATTTCCCTTAGCAACTAAGGTTTCAGCTTACTTCAACTCTTACGGTACCAGAAAGAGCTCTAGCTCAAGTCCTGTGAGCACTAAGAAAGTGTCAGTCCGTCTCTTTTCCTTTATGCACTCATTTGAGATGGCTTTGTGCTATCATCTCCTGCACTGGTTTTGGGGCACAGAACCTGCCTCTCGAGCAGGTTTGCTTAGAAAGCCAAGCAACAAAATCACAAGCCATCTAATGCTCATTTGCACTTCAGATGTCCTCAGGTCCCTACAGGATTTACCAAATTGCCTGGCGTGTACCGTGGACTTGTCTCAGTGGGAAAAGTAATAACAGAGACCCAAAGCGGATTTCTTGTTGGCCTGTGCATGCCATGCTTATGAAAGTGAAATGCACGGGGACCTCGACAATGAAGTGCAAAAACAAGTCTGACATAACAGGCCCCTGTGGGCTACAGCAAGGCCAATAATCACAGTCTGAGAAATCCTCTTAAATTTTATTTAAATGCCACACTGCAATTGTCCAGAGTCCATTATTAGGCATTTGATGCTTGTGATGCGTTTGGTGGACCTATCCACATGATGGCGTGTGGTCAGGAAATCATGAAAGCAAACCATCATCTTGATTTTGGGCAGAGAATAAAATTATGCAGGAGAAATGTCCTGTGGTGACACATCTCTTAGTAGCTCAAGAACTCTTCTTTAGCAAATTCATGCATCCAATCTGAGGGATCTTAGAGGGGTGCTTATTCATTTTGGAACGAATAGCTTACTTCTCTTTATTAGACCACTTTTCAAGGCACTTTTTTCCCCAAGCTTCTAAGAAAAATGAAAAACTTGTGAGGGAGCTAGAATTTGGTACTGTTTATTTTTCAATGTCTTGGACAGTGGTTTAAAAAAGTGGAGCTGGAGAGGTGATGTTGCTTGGTTTATCGTTTACCAGAATTATACTGTGAAATAGTTCTGAAAGGTGTCCAGAGCCTGGGATGAGCTCTCTTCTACCCCCTTATGTGTACATGAAAATATACACACAAAACTGACTGCTACAAATTCCCTGGTACAAATCCCAGAAAAAATATTACAAAAGCAAGTAACTCTACTGAACCTGTGGCGTGTGAACCAGCATACGAACCCTGCTATTTCTGATGCGGCAGAATGAGGCATGCCTTACCATAAGGGTTCATGTGGTCGCCTGGCATTTGTGGAGGGGTAAGACCCTGCTGAAACGGGTCTGTGCCATAACTGCTTTGATCCATTGCTACAATCTGCTGCTGTGGTGGTGCAAGTGGTGTGTAAGACGTCATCATCCCTTCCATTCGGTTGGACATTACTTCTGCAAGGCAAACAGGAGGGCACAGTCACCGCTCGGGAACAAAGAGGCAGCAGACACTAGCATCAGTGACAATGCTGAACCCGAGCACAGAGCGAACGCGGCTAGGTGTGTCCTGTCATTCAGAGGAGCCTTCCAAATTCTGTCTGAGAGTACGGCCCTGAGCAATCAGTTAGAAGACTTGTAATTTCTGACTATATAATTTCTGGAGCTCCTGGATGCTGGACCATATCTTCCCAAAGTCTGTCCTGTGCGTGACACAGCCCTTTTATTCTCTAACTTCTGTCGGTACCAGTTTTTCTGGCTGTGCTTAAAGAGGAGGATTTGAGGCTGCAAGGCCTTGGGAGTTGGAGAACCTCAAAAGGATCCACAAAGCAGCAGGGCAAGCCCTGGTGCCTCTGTGCAGCTCCTGCCCCAGGGTCCAGCCAGCGGCCGGGGCACAGGAGGGGCTCCCTGTGCTCAGCTGTGGCAGCGATGCAGCAGCCTGCAGATGCCCAGCTGAGCACGGTCCCCCTTTCTTCAGGAGAAAACAAGCTGGAGGATCTACCTGGAACGAGCCTCCTGGAGATTTCCTCCAGTCAAAGTGCCTCTGTACTGCACATTTCTTCTAAAAGGGAGGGAACAGCTTCTGTGTAAGCACCTCCAGGGTTTGGTCCCATGGGAGAACTGTGGGATAACCTGGGATGGCCACTCAGATACAGCTCCTCTGTGTGCTTCCACTGGTGATGGCACACGTTATCCATGGACTCGTGCATGCCCTGTATGGCTGTACTTCAGACATTATATGGGAATGGCACTTCAAGAAATCTTGCAGATTTTTTTTCCCCTTGCTTTGCCTTCATCATAAATCCCCTACCTTGCCCTAGTCGCTGTGAGTTTTGTTGCTCTTGCTGCTGCTGATGCCTTCGTGCTAGTTTTTTCATCTGAATAAAAGAGGAAGAACAGAACAATCTCATGGTTCTGAATGCAACAATTTTGTTTCCTTACAAAACTCTCTGCAAACATCAAATCAATTAATACAGACCATTTATATTCATACACACACCACTGTTTATTTCTAACACTTCCATTTCCAGTTTGTATTTGCATGCAAAATTTACTTCCAACCTCATGTTGCTTTGAGCACACAAACTTAATGCCTGTGTTTGAAAGTTGCCTTTCTTGTATGGATGTAGACAGCAGCACATGCAAAATACGTACAGTTCAGTGCCTGGGATCTCCGTGGTACGTACTACATCTAGGGAGAAATCTGTGTTGGAGGACCATTTGTGTTTTACTTTTGAGAACTTGACAAACAACCTACCTTTGCTCTTTGGTTTTGAAACCAGACCTGGACAACTCGCACACTGAGTCCTGTTTCAGCTGCTAGTGTTTCTCTGACCTACAGGAGGAAATGTTTAATCATGTAATTTTTAATATTTAAAAAAAACCCAAACAACTAATCAGTTATCTTAGGAGGATTATGCCTGAACTTACAATAAAAACTGCATGTACAGAATTCCTTTTAAAAATTCCTCATATTTTTGCAGAGTTTGTTCAAGTTCTGCCCTTCGTGTGGCTACCAGTTTCATAAGTGCTGAACAAGAAGTCCGAGCTGTGCAAAATGACATTAAGTCATCTGATGACTTTTACCCATAAAACAGTTCCATGCAAAAAGATACAAATTTGGTTATCAACATTTTTTGTATTGTTGAGGTACAACTTCATACTTTAAAACGGCAAAAAGGCACAGCGCACCGTCCCAAAAGACTTCTCTGCAGGGGAATGTCACTTTTTGCAAAAACGACAGCTTTCAGGATGCACCTCCATTTTTTTCCAATCAAACTTAGGAGGAAACAGTTACCTGGGTTGCTTTTAGCAAAGATTTGATTTTCACCAGCTTCATCAGTGACGCAATACGTTATACCTTTCCCTAGCTGTTATACGCAAGATCAACAGCAGGGTTAAGTTTCATTAAAAAAAAATCAAGACTGGATGAACAAGTAGTGGGACCAAAGCCGAGCACCTGTCTCACTAGATAGTGACTCCCTCTGTGGTGGGAAGGAGAAGGGCAAAAGCCACTTGTTTACCTGGGCTCTGATAGTCAAGGATACTTCATGGTTTGTAAGAACCAAATATTGTTGTTCCGCAGGAATCAGTCACGCAGCTGCCTCCTGGGTGAATATCCAGAAATAACAACGAGCTGGTCCTAAGCTGCTGATCGCTCCAGGCTGAAACGGTATTTGGGCCACACACTGGCCTGGTCTCTGTGTTCACCCCCAAGACACCTGGTGCTGTCCCGGGAAGGGGCAGGGGGCTATCTGGAGCTGTGGCCTGATGCCACCAACCCCACGGCCTGGTGCCAGAACTGACCTCAAATCCTTGACGAAGCACCTACCTTCCTACAGGGCTTGGAAGACACTTCAAAGGACGCTTTGAATGCTCGTCTCTGCTGCGTAGTAAGTATCGTCCTTGGTCGTTTAGGTCGTCTTGGGTCCTTCCCGTCATCGCTTCCTTTTCCTTGGGTTACTTGTCCTTTGGTGGGCTTCACATCTCCATCTTCATCATCGCTTTTAACTGGTGAAAAATAAACAGGATATAGAATTGTCCTTGTTCCACCAAGATAACAGGGTGTTTGAAAACTGCTCTTCAGCTGCCAATCTAGTCAACAGGTTCAACTATTATCCCACGTTCATCTGAATACCTAAAGCAACTGCGAGCAGGAAGAGACTATCTTAGATTTGTGTGCGCTGCCTAAATCAAATACGACAAACATAAAAATGTGTTGAATTTTTAATTGAGGGCATGGGACTGATTGGGGATGAAAATTCAGAATATGCTTCAATATTTCCAGGAACTGGGCACAGAGAGACTTTGTGCCCTTCCAGCATCGCTTGGTCCCCTGCGTGCTCACCTGCTGCAGCCACACCAACTGACACACACTGTTCCTTTCACAGCAGAGCCGCATCTTCTCCCGAAGCATTAGTTGCAGACAGGTAGTACTGCCTGCACTGCTATGGCAGCAAAACAACGTAAATGCAAATATCACAAAAATACGTCAAAGTCTGTTTAGCTAAATATAGCGTAGATTCCAGTTACTGGTCGGAGTATTTTGAAGCTCTAGAGATAATATTAAATATAATCTTTGCCAGCTCACTTCTGCATCCCACAGAAAACATCAGTATTCTTTCTCTGTGTATTTCGATGCGTCTACATGTGCATGCACAACTTTTTCTTGGTAAATACATACAAATATCTATGTGCTTCTGTAGACCAAATAGATTATTTGCATTTTTTATAGTTAAATTCTAAATATTTGTACAATCTGGTGATATTACGTGCGTCAGTATATTGTACTTGGAAATCTCAATTGCAGTGGCAAAGGTTGAAGAGTAAGTACAAATCTTGTTGTGAAAAACAACTTTTCAACTCAGCACATTTTATTTGACCAGACTACTGATTTTTACTTCCAGAAAACATTAATACACCATTATAGGGACTTCAAGATGAAGAAACACACTGCAATTTTTATATACTCAAAGATTACGTTTGGGGAATTAACAAATTAGACTTTAATTCATTTTAGGGTCTGATTATTATGCACCTAGCAATCTAATCACCTTTTACTTTAATAAGCATCTTTTGCCTAATGATTAAAGAGAAGTTCAGTCATTTTAATAACCACGACATTATTAACTTTCCAGCATGCCATTTCTAAGGAAAGGTTTGTGAGGATTGATATTGCTCATTGGAGAGTTACTTTTGTGTCCAGTGGATAAATATTTGATTGGAGAAGGACACATACTCAGCCAGGGCTATGTGAAATCATTTGCTCTCACACAGGCATCTGGGAGATCTGCGTTTTCAATGTATTAGACAATGGGAGACAAAACATCCCATTTAATTTGTCAACTTGTTTTTCAGGTTTGGGTTTGGCTAAGAGAGAATAACGAGGGGAAAAAAAACGCATCTCCAGGAGTAAGAAACTACCCCTTGTGCCAAAGGGAAATGAAATTGAAACTAAAGTTGGTTTGTGCTGCTGCGGTACCTTACTGCTGATCGCAAAATACAAAATCTGGTCCTGCAGGAGAGCCCACTGGTGCCTAAAGCAGAGCTCGAACGCAGCCAGCTGGCAAACATCAGCCACCCGTGCCCACACGGCGAGTGAGGACGGCAGGGGAGGAGGATCCCCGTGCCCATCGCTGCAGCGTGGGGACAGCCCCGCACATGCCGCTTTGCCACGGGGGTTTGTCTGGGCACCGACAGACGGGCAGCGGGACGCTGAAGCTGGCGATGGGAATGACACGCTGAAGGGCGAGTAGGAAACTCACATGCCTCGGGCAAATTCACAAAGAGCCCAAACCCTGTGACGTGAGATTTACAGAGCGGAGCACTCAAGGTCCTGCAAATACAGTATGGCAATAAATAACCTGCTGCTCCAAGAAAGGCCCCGGTCCCACATGTCCTGCTGAGTCAGCAGTGACCTTTGTCTTGCAGCATTCCTGACGTGAAAATATAAATTTCAGCAATGTGGAGAATATGGCTCTCAGATTAGAGATTAAAGATAATTACTGCTCCTAGCTAAAATGGAATAATGCATTTTCTCATAAACCAGAGGCAAACATTCATGTCATTTGTACGCTTAATGGAATGGTAATTGTTCATTTTCTTAGACAATTTTGGGAAACAAGTGCACAATTTTGATGGCTGGCAGCAATTTGCGTACACGCTGTCTCCAGTCGGGATCAGCCAGGCCACACCAGCAGCAGGAGGTTTCCAGTCTCCCTGAGTGCACAGGGCACAGGCAGGAGGCATCCCGTCTCGCCCAGAACTGCCTGCGAGCCTGAAAGCCAGTCCTCACTGTCACCACAAAGTACCTGGCCTGAAAGCATCCGGAGACAGACTCCCCGAAACTCCTCATTCAAGTCGCTGCTTTTTCTTTTTCTTTTTTGCGTGAGCCCCTTGCCTGCCGTAGCAGGAGTGGATAAGCAGGCAGCCTCGCCAAGCGGGCGGCTGCCCTGGCTTCCTACACCCCAATTCCTGCAGCACACACTTCTCAGCTTCTTGATTCTCCTCAGTACTTCTGTGTTGTACTTGTAGTTTTTCTTAAAGTTAATTTGTGATTGGCAGAGAGAATACTCTTGAAAATTGTATTACCACTCTGTCCGTTTTCCTAGCTCGGTGCTGAAAATGTATGTGCAGAAGATCCCCTGGAAAATACGTTAAGTGGATGGAAGAATGCCTATGGAAAATGGCACACTTTGAATGAGGCCTCAGGTAACTGAAGTCAGTCTGATTCACGTTTTGTGATCTCACAGAAAAATACTCTGACGAGAACAAAATGTTTTTGTCCTTTATAAGCAGCAAGTTAAGGAAGGGAATCAGGGAGAACAAACAACAAGTAGGGATTTTTTTAGCTGGGCCTGCTAATTTGCATGGGTGGCATGTGTGTATGAATAAAGTGGATGTGTAAATGGATATACTTTTCTATAAGAAAGCTCTACAAACCATTGCGGCTTTTCCAGTTGGAGCAGGTGTGGGAAAAGCTCACCTGAGTCTGAGTCGTCTGGGCTGACCGAGCTCAACAAGTCTTTCTCTTTTTCATAGTCACTTTTGCAGAGCAATTGCCCTTCCTTAAGAACAAACTCGTCCCCTTTCCTCAGCTGTCGTTCGCAAACGCAGCAGCAGAAGCAGCTTAAGTGGTAAACACACTCCAGGGCTCTCATCACGAATTCTGTTGGGGCGATCTTTTCCATGCAGCCACTGCACTTAGCAGCAAACAGCCTGTAAGAGGGAGAGGCAGTAAAGTCAAAGGGAATGTCAGAACATACAGTGCATGAATTTAAATACAGCAAATTCTTTAATTTAACTACAGATCAGCTTGGCTCATACTTTTGCACACTGGGAGACTTGCATCCTTAGTCTTGGAAACGTCACAGGCATGCGATTTATTCAAATCTCAATCCCTTTGGTCTAGAGATTCCCAAATCACCTTTGCTGGATAAAACCCACTAAGATTTGTCCTTATCTCACTGTTTTGTTCCTCTTGAGAAAGAGAAACGAAAAGGAGCTCTCAGAGTTTGGATAACTTGTTCAAAACCAAATTTATTTTAATTCACCTTTTAGAGGAAGGGCCAGGTTATGCTTTGTTTTATACAGGCGCTCTGGTTCCAGCACTTAAACCCTATTCTGAATATATTTCATGACTTTCCATTTTTGGTATTGTCTGTCTGTGAGGAGGCTGATAGATGAACACAGAAACAAGGAGGAAAACTTAGTGCTACTGCTGAGAAGACGACACACACACACGCAATCGCACACATGCAATTGATAAAGAGAGGAGTGAAATAACACGGCTTTTCTTTGGATGTTGAGTTATTCCAGAACAACCTGTCTCTGAAGGGAGTACTGTGCATTTTAAATGGTGTGAAACATCCTTTGGCAGAGATAGGCAGTGATACAATCTGCTAAATTACCACTATAATCACAGGCTCTAGAATATACACTGTATTCCAGACTAGTTTTTATTAAACCTTTATAAACCCCCTCTTTCATCCATCATTAATTTTCCAAGATAAAGTTAGAATGATTTAGATTAATTTTATTTTGCTTTTCTAATGGCAACTGGGAGTCTCCCTGAGCGAGCTTTTAGGAAGAGGGCTGCTTCAAATAAAGACGAATAGCTAAGTTACATCCCTGTATCACACAGTGGGCTTGGTGATTTAAAATTCAGTGTCTTTTATAGCAATACATCAAAGTGCAAGGTGCATTAAAATTTACATTTCGGCAACAAAATTAACACAACTGCACCCATACATTCACAGGAAAAAAAGAGATCCCGCCTCTTAGGATGGGGTACGCCGATTGTTTTTTTCGTCCTCAAAATTATCCCCTTTTTTCTAAAAGGCAGTCTTCAATTTTAGAAGAGACAGGCTGTGGTAGTTACAGATTCCTCCAAAGCCTCCATTTTGTCTGAGCTGAGAAGTACAGCAAAATGGCAGTCATAGCTCCTCAGCAAAATGATGGAGCCACAGAAAGGGCAGGAGAGAAAGAAAACGTAAATACATACGCATACGGCATCCAAAGAAAGGCTCAGTGCCCAAGAACTTGTGCGTTTTCCCCATCTGTATCTTTTGCTCTAATAAAAGAGACCTACACTATTAACCTCGCTGGCTCAGTGCGTACCTTTGCACGACCACAGCCACAAGGTGCGTCGTACAAGCCAGGCAAGGCAGACCGAGTGGCTCTTTCTTGGGTACGTACTGAATTAAATCTACTAAAGGGAAACCGATGCCACGCAGGACCCACGGGCTCTGCTAGTAAATAGGCCGTCTGATTTCATACAGTCTCTTGGGTTTGCCTGCAAGGTTTTTCTTCTGTTAGATGCAAACTTTAACAGGAAGAGAGAAATGTGATTTTATGTTCTGACTAGTAAACATCACAAAAATCTGTCAATGCTTTAGCTAGCACATTCCTAAGCAGGAAATATTTTTATTTATACACAATAACATATCTGAAAGGATTAAAACACAAAAGGGAAAAAAAGAGCAAACAGATTTTAAGCACTTAAAAAAGTTGTTGCTATTTAACTGCTTAAACCTATTTGACTCAGTTTAATTAAGCTTGTAGCTTTTGTCTGAAGACTGTTGTCATGATGGAGCACACTTAAAGACTCCGAAGATTAGCAAATCTGGTGTGAAGGCATCCGGCTCCCCTAACTGGCACCAGTTCATTTGTACCACTGTGACAGTTAACCTGCGTACGCTTCAGTAACATTCAATCGATGGCTATCGGGAGGGATGGGACAGACCCTACGCCTGGTACCCGCTCTGACGGCTGCAGATGTAACAGCCAGACCGGGAAATGCGGCTGCTCTTGCTGTTTCTGCAGTCTCCGGGTTCCTGGCTTCGATGCCTTTCCACTCAGTGCTGCTGGTCTGAGAAATTTGAAAAAAGGAACTCCAGAAAGTGACCACAAGCCTGCCAGCGCAGGCGCTGCCATCTGCCTAAAAACCTTTGCAATGCTGCCGGGATAAGGATGATAAAAGCCCAGCACCGCGGCCGTGCTCTTCATAAAAGCAACGCCGAGCGATCCGCGTACTGGGCATCGAGGTTTTCCTCAGAAAGAGTTAAGGAGATGCCTGCTCCTCCGGCGCCCTCGGAGGCACACCCCAGAAGCCGGGCTCTGGCAGACGCCGAGAGCGTTAGGACTCCTCTCTCTCTGAAAAAAAAATCCAACCCGGCGGAGCTGCTGGCCCCAGCACCCCGCGCAGCAGG